GGGCAATCACTTTTTCACACAGGGCCATGTAGGTTTGGATTTTTTTTCCCCCTTAATAATAAAAACCTTCATTTAAAAACTGCATTTTGTGTTTACTTGTGTTATCTTTGTCTAATATTTAAATTAGTTTGATGATCTGAAACATTTAAGTGTACAAACATGCAAAAAAATAAGAAATCAGGAAGGGGGCAAACACTTTTTCACACAACTGTATATAGTAGCTTTAAAGCGAGGGGAGCCTGTGTGATTGAGAGGGGCTTAACAGGAAGAAAGCGGAAGTGATTTGAGGGAAATAAATCCTCAGCACTTGGTCGGTTCAACAAGTTCATACCGCCAAAACATGAGGAGAGGGTGAGGGGGTGAGGGCTACAGACTTAATTAGCACAATGAAAACAGCCGCCAAGAAATGCAGTGTTTTTGGAGTTGCTCACAGCTCATTACTTTAATGTTTCCAGGCACAGGGGGAGGGTAGGGGTGCAAGGGGGTTGATAGAAGATGCTAAGGATACAGTCGGTGTAAGCTACAATTACAGATGGCATATGGATCATTTCAAGCCCCAACACATGCCTAACATCCTAAAAATAAATTAAATAAATGTAATTCAGTTGTTTAGGTGGAACACACACCGAATCACAGCTCCAATCTCTCTCCTAGAACATAACTAACTAATCACAGCCACATTACTTGTATGTAGCTGGATTGCTGAGCCAGAAAATGATTAGTGGGTAGTTAGCAACCATGGCAGCGACAACAAGCCCAAACAATCATTCTCAGGAGGCGGTGCTATCCCAAATACTGGCAGACTGCATTTTTAATCTGGACACCCTGTTCTCTTGTTAACACTGCCGTCTTTGATGAAATCTGCCAGTTTCTTTTTCATAATGGAGACGTGCCCTAATCTCCCTGGCAGCTGCTCCATTCAATAGCTGTGCCTCTGTTTGTGAGCGTGCGTGCGTCTGTGTGTGTTTGTGTTGGGGGCACTGAAAGGCGTCCACCTGCACAGTGGTGGTGTTTGAAGTGCAGCACTTAACGGAGCTGCAGTAGTGGACAGAGAGGCTTCAAGTGGGAACAGACAAAGCGACAAAGAGAAAGGAGAGAGGAGGAGAAGAAGAGGTGCTGGGGAGGGGAATGTCTCATCACCAGTTGATCCAGAAGATGGGAGGCTGGCGGAAGGAGGAGGAATGCTGGCGTGGGCGCTTTGAAACTGTGGGCGCAACAGGTGTCTCTAGCTATAGAGCTGACAAGCCGAGGCCGAGGCCATGCCTGGCTGAGGTTACATGGGTGTGGTGGTGACTGTGTGGTGGGTATCGCATGGTAAATACAAGAGGATTGGGTGGCATGCACACACACGCACACACGCACACACTCCTATATCACACCTCAGAGCATGGTGCTGCTGCTGGTGTGGCTGCAGCTTGGCTCAGAGAAAATGTAACTCCAGTTTGAAGCCAGAAAAATTAACATAGTGTGTCAGCAAATCAAACACTTTTCTGACGTACAGGATCAGTGTGCCTGCACACACACACTAAATGAAAGATGTATTACGAGGGAGTGTGTCTCATATAACGATATAAAGACATTATAAGATGTGAAAGCTAAGGATCACAGTATAATTAACGACAGAATCATTCTTTGATATTAGTTTATTATTAATATTTAGCTTAGCATGTAAAGAAATGGTTAATGCTAGGGTTAGAGGGAAGTGAATGAGTACCATCAATTAAAAGGCCTTTACCCAGTATTGTAGTGCAAATGTGTATTGAAATGATTATTCAGTTGAAACCTAAAATGTCTTTATTAGATGTGTATGCGTGCAATTTCCAATTTTGCATTTGTAAGTGTGTATGTAATTTAATGTATCACAAGCAATAAGGAAACCTGGGGGGCAATCACAGTAGAGAGCAGGCTGTGAAAAGCCTTTCTGGTTCCCGTGCAGCTTCTGGTGAGGCAGTGGAGGAACTGTATTTCCCCCTCTCTTCCACATTATGCAGAACAGGGGAAACAGATAAAGAATCATAAAAGTCATATCGCATGTCAGCGACCAAGTTCTCTTTTCTCAGTGTTTGGCAGTTCTGCCTTTCTCATGAAAAAGTTAACTGCCGGTAACAGTGGACATAAAAAGATACTGTAGTTAATGAGAAGTCTGTAGTGGAGTGTGACCTATAGATCACTGTGGCACATGTCTGTTCTTGTGCTTTTTGGTGTTGGTGTTTGTGTGTGTGTGTGTGTGTGTGAGAGACATAGTGGCACAGGCCATTGTCAGCGGTTTCATGGTAACTCCGAGACATGTGTGAGTCAATGATAAACCACCACAGCCCCGGTCTAAATGTAACTACAGAAGGATGTTTGTGTGTGTCTAGCTCCAAGAACAGAAACAAACAATGTTATTTTTATATATTTCTGCTATAAAGTGGTTAAATGTTTCTGTTCTGGCTGTGAAAAAAAAGGTGGTATATTGACAAAATATTTCATCTTTCTCGGCAGCCACCAGGCTGGTTAGAGGTGTGAAACCACTAGCATTGCGTGAGGGAAAAGTCATGGTAAGAAGCTGGGGGTTTCCAAGCAAATGAGTTATCAATGAATACATTTGCATGCACAGTTTGATGCAAATTTTAATCATTTAAAGCTTGAGCCTTTACTAGTGGAGATACTGCAAGAAATGAACAAGTAGTCGACAGGGATTCTTGAAATAGGGTGCAAGGACCACAGAGACTTTCACATAGTCAAAGGGAGATCTAAAAGATTAAAATATTTCTTTGTATTACGATGTTAACAGAGACAGAGAATACACAAGAATGGCCAAGTCATACTACTACTTACACACCACAGCATACAAAATAAATGATAACTAAGAAAAAACTGATGGTCTGACTTCTGCACCTAATTTGGGGTCCTTGGCGTGTATAGTTTGACGATGCCCTTTCAGTTTTTGGTAGCTTTCATGTTTCTACCATCCTGTCCAATGACACCTTTCAAAACCCACTGGATAAATTCAAAAATGCATGGTGGTCAATGTGAAAACAAGACTTAGTCTTAGTGCCTGAAAAACTGACATTTGGGAGATATGAGGTTTTCACCTGACAGCAACAATATTTCAAAGCACACACTCGGAATACTGGTCAAAGCTGTGGCGGGTGTGCAAGGTCAATCCAAGCTGCGACTAAAACTGAGCCATGAGAAATGTTCATAAAAGCTTAGCTCTGTTCAGATGCCTGCAGTATGCACAGCCGGTGTGTGACAGCCACTCACCCACATACAAGCTTCAAGGCGGACTTTGGAGATGATGGTCCAGAGAGAGATGCTTCCCTGGATGACAGCTGACCCCACCAACCCGTCCGCCCCCGCGGCCTCCACGCCCACTCGCTCAGCATCAGAGTCTGGTGCTGGTGCGTTCGGCTGGGGACAGACTATTTGGTCCGGATAGGGCGGTTCGGGGAAATCCACCGAGCCACATTCATAGGCTGCCAAGGTCACCGATGCTATGTGTGGTCCCTGAGAAATAGAGAAAGACAAAGACAGAGGAAGAGGAAGAGGAAGATGAAAAGAAAAGGAGAAAAGAGTGAACAATGAGTGGGAGTTGTGAATCCACCTGTTAGAAGTAGTTTTGAGTCAGAGGAAGACCCCTTAGCATAAGGAGAAAGTCACAGATGTGAGTCAAATACTGATTGATAACATGAGGACAGTTACATGTGGGCCAGTATCTAGGCTGCGTCTCCTGTTGTTACTACAGCAGTGTAACTCTCTGACTTTCAAACCAAACTAGCATATAGAGTGGATGTGCCTTCTGCTTTCCTTTCTGTAGGAGTTAAATAGGCCATCAGGAAATGGAGAAAAACATGCAACTTTGGTTAAGCTGAAGTGTTTCGCTGCTTCATGCTGTTTAAAGGCTACAGGAGAAGTGTCAACGGATAAAGAGTGGAGGGCCCCGGGTGGAAACAATCAAGGATGGAAACCAAAGCTGGGGTGTAGAAAGCCTTTGGTGTACACACACTCACCACACACACCATCTGTATACTCACTCACTCAAACAAATACGCCTCAAAGACATGTCAAGAACAACAACTGAAGAATAAGTATTGTTTTATGAACACAGGAGATGATTCTCCACACCTTATATACCATACACGAACAACCGAGTGCAGCCGTCCGCCCACAGGAGGGCAATAAATAATGAAGAAAAAGAAGCAGGCTCTCAATACAGACTCTTTTCAGACTGAGCTTATTAATGTTTGACTGCTTTTGTTGTAAGAATCATACATTAGCATACTTAAGGACCGGCAGTCTTTGATAGGGCCTGGTCTGGTTTACATTTCTGGCTCTTGTGTATTTACTCACTTCAATTACGCTTCCAGTGAGAAAACATAGGAGTCAAAGGAAGGAAGAGAGGTGCAGGTTGGATTTCTGGTGTGTAGTGAAAGTTGACTTAGCGGCCAGCTTTGTGTTTTTGTTCAAACCCTAAAACAAGTCATCCCAATATCCACAATACAGCCGAGTCGAGAGACTCCTGAGGTCACACTCACAATTAAACTCAATTACACAGAAATACCAAAGTGAACAAGATCTCCATTTCAACACGCCTCTGGCATTTTGAAAAAAAAGTACCAGCAGTTTCCTTTCTCTAATTGCACCTCCATTATTACAAACATGAGGAATTCCTCATTAAATAATTTATCATACAAAGGCTAAATTTCACTTATCACACATGTTCTGATGGGTGAATTCATGTAGGACACATGTTTTAAAGGGTAATTCAATTTCCTATTTAAAACTACAACAATTGCTGTGAAAACTAAGCTATTCCTGCAGCGTAAGTTCACTCATCAAAGTCTGTTGTCTGAGAGGAACAAGGAACTATTTGTTGAAATAGCCGCCGGCCGTTCTACACCGACTCGCTCTGACAATAAGGTTTATAACATTAATGTTATGCACAGTGTTTGATTAAGTTTTACACTGAACAGGATCCAGCCAGAAAGAAAAGGTGACGTAACTTTGCATTTGTAAGAACGCATGTTACACACTGAACAATGATCTAGATGGAACTGAGATGACAGAGATTATCAAACAAGTGAGGAACACTCGTGTGATCCCTTCAAATAAAGGAGATCCACAGAGTGGACCGATTTAAGCAGGCCCTGTGTACTCTGTCTATTCTATGTGTTTACACTCATGCGTATGTGTGCAAGAATGGGTGCTCCCAGTGACGCACGGGGACAGTTTGGCATTACGCAATGTAGCAAACCCGGGGTGTGGCTATAACTTCGGGAGCCGCATGGGACAAAGCAGGACAGGACGGGACGGGACGAGGAAGGGCACGACAGTGGCGTGCGAGGCAACAGGAAACAGCAATGTCTTCTCCAGGAAAAATGCACTCCTTTTAGATGATACAGATTCATTTTTAAATAAACTATTAGTAAGCATCACAGTCACGTTTACATAAATTATTTAAAAAAGCTGATGTTGATCTTTGCTGATGCTTGTTCACATACATTTTCTTACTAAAGCAGAAGACATATCTTTGGAAAATCTTTAGTGACCCAGAGGGAGAAGTCAAGAAACTCCCAGCACTGACGTGATACTCCCCAGCCTCACATCCTCCCCAATGACTCTCAAGTGGGATCACACTGCCCTGACATATAGACACACACACACACACACACACACACACACACACACACCTCAAGCAGAATGTTTGTGTGGCCAAGAAACACAATATTCATCTTGCTCACACCTTCCAAGTCTATCTCAGGTAATGTGTGTTTACCAAAAACACACAGACAGCCTGCCAACAGAGAGCATTGCGTGACTCCGAGTACTCTCTCTCTCTCTCTCTCTCTCTCTCTCTCTCTCTCTCTCTCTCTC